GAAAGAGGTTAAAAGAAAGATAAGACACCACCATCCAAAGTATTAATGTAGTGAGAATTGCTATCAATGAAACCGCTTTGTGTCTCTCAATAGAAAGGTAATCAATAACAAAAGGTGAACTTTATAGACGTCGTAAAGTAGTGTCGGATCATGGGAGTTGTTGTCTTTATTGTTAGACAACGACCATTGCCAATGAATGTCTAATCAAGAAGACACATCTTTATGGATGAGGTTGTGTATTGTACAGTTTATCCAGTATGTCTAATGGAAGAGCTGCATGTTACGTTAGCTAACGTAAGGTTAAAATGCTAACTTACCATGAGATGAGTCGACGACCCGTACAGCTAATGTGAATAATTTACTAAGTTTACTATATAATACATTGCCTCAATCTCACTCAAAAGTCACACTTTGACAGTAACGCCAAATAATAGCCAAATCATTCCTGGGATTAAGACGAACCTCGGAAAACAAGTCGTTGTCTAATTTGTACTTTTTTTTAATAAATTGAATAAAACTTGTGTTTTGTTTTTGCTACAGCGCGGCTGGTCTTCAGTAAAGAGTGGTGCAGGAATGAGTCATAAACCCAGAAATGAATTAGCAATTTAGCACCAGTTCCCTCGTCTCTTTGTTTTATATTTCATGTATGCACCACGACATCAAGTCAAATTCCTCGTAGGCCTATGTGTGAACCTACCTGGCAATAAACCCTTTTCTGATTCTGATTCTGATTCTGATGTCGTCTCCAGTCTTTTTGTTTAAAGCCTGAAATAAGGTCTTCGATTAACACAAGCTGAAGAGATTTTCACTTTTTGGCTAAGACATGAAATACCTCAGAAAATAACCCACTGGAGAATGTGTGAAGCCTCTATGTGTCTTTAAAACAGTGGTTGCTAACAAGTGTCTAAATGAGACGACTAAACCTCATCACGCCCAACATTAGCCGCCTTTAGCTTAGCAGTGGTTAAGTGAAGTCATGCTAATGTTATAGTTCCTTTATAGCCCAACATTAGCCGCCTTTAGCTTAGCGGTGGCTACGTGAAGTCATGCTAATGTGCTAGTTTCTTTATAGCCCAACATTAGCCGCCTTTAGCTTAGCGGTGGTTACGTGAAGTCATGCTAATGTGCTAGTTCCTTTATAGCCCAATAGCCGCCTTTAGCTTAGCGTAGGTTACGTGAAGTCATGCTAATGTGCTAGTTCCTTTATAGCCCAATAGCCGCCTTTAGCTTAGCGTAGGTTACGTGAAGTCATGCTAATGTGCTAGTTCCTTTATAGCCTAAAGTTAGCTTCTTGCTTCTAACTATTCACAAAGTGGTGTTCATATGCTGATGTTATCATGCTGAACTAAACATGTAAGTATCATGCCTATAAATCTTCTGCAATATTGTAAAATAAAAGTCTCATTGGCTTTTTGACGAGGGAGCCCTTGCCAGCTGAATGTGACTCTTTTCTTGTCTGTGCTTTAACTCTGTTCATGCGGTTGAGTTCACCAGGTTCATGCAGTCGGTAAACAAACATACAAGCATCCCTGAGACGTGAGATGTTTTTCAGTTGAGGCAACCTGCTCTGTTTAAAGGGTTTTATCTGAGCCCCCAGGTCGAAGCTACAAGGTGAGCCTTTCTATACGAGGCTGTGCCAGAATGTGAAGAATTCAGCTCAACCCCGTTGAACTCGAGAGGTTCCTCCTCTCCTCGAGTTGTTTTGCTGCTCGCTCAGTTGCGACACACTTCTGACTGACTTGCTGATGCTTGTGTAAGGTAATGTAGAAGACCTGAGTTGCCAATGCATTGATGTAGAAGTGTTTACAACCACTAAGGAGATAAGCACATCATCTACTTGAGTTTACTTGGACATCTTCCCACACAAATTAGACATTTAAGATTGTTTGTTTTCCTTTGCTTCGTCTTGTGCAAAGATCCTATTTGAAATGCATTTTTTTAAATGTATTTCGAAGCTGAAGTTAAAACCACTTTCTAGATTTCAAGATTACACTTGTTTCAAAAGATCAACTGTTAACCAGATGGTGCAACTCACTTCCTGTTGCGCAAATCTAACGGACATTGTGATTCTTTTTAGATGTGTTCTCGTATTTAATCTACATACTGCTACACGCTCAACACAAGAATACAACTCATTAAACCTTAATGTTTTTTATTTTTCTCACTTACTTTTCCACACTTCCCATGACTCAGGTACAGCTGCAGCTCAAAAGTAATTAGTTGTTTGGAAAATGATGCAGCAGAGTCAGTTTCTTCCATAATTATTTGGATTTAAATGGCTAAAAATCCAATCATTTCTTAATAATAAAAGGTAATTTATTGGTATCTTGAAGAACTAATCTTTTGTTCTGTTAATAAAATCTTCAGTTTCACAGTTTTATAATAAGGATTTCACTCTCGGCTAAGACTCCTGGAGTTTTTGATTAAAACAGTTGCCGGTAGTTTTGCAAAATAGACCAATCACTTATTTGTGAGTGTGCACAAAATCTTTGTTTGCTGTTTGTAATGGAAATCCATTTTATTAAGCCCGGAAGTTGATAAAGCCTGAGGGACACGTCATGGCATGTAGTTTAAGCTGCTTTCCTGCAAAGTGTAATGTTGTGGGTGCAGAGGATGTACAGTACGTGCAATAAATGGAGAATCGGAAGCAGTCGGGGGTTAATCTCTGTCCGTTGCTAAACTGCTGTCCTATGGACTCCTACCCCTTCTGTATGTGTTTACACCCGTGGGGTCTTCAGGATCAGATGAGTATCAAAGTGTTGTACTCTAGGAAATGGCATAGGAAAGAAACACAAGGCACTGGTCAAATTAAATATTTGGACACATGTAGAAATTTCTTAGTTTGCATGGATTTGAGCTGGTGTCAGAAAGTGTTATTCAAGAAAGATCTCTGACTTTGCCAACATGGTCTTACTTTGCTGTTTTTGTCTGTAGCATAGTCATTTCAAGTGAGACATTTCTAAAGATCTAAAAGGAGTTCAACATTTTGTGAAAAACACTCTTTCACGTTTCGATTCGATAGCTTGTCCAAAGGTAACCATATGAACCTGTTTTTTGGTCTTCACTTAAACGAGAAACGTAAATTGGAGAGTATTAAAGTTGCTTGTGCTTCCTTCATATCCAGGCTAGCCATTTCCACATTAAAAGTCTTTGTGCTAAGCTAAACTAACCTGTTGCTAGCATAGAAATCAATGGTACGAATCTTCTCTTCAAACTTTCTGCAAAAAAACAAACAAATGTAATTCCCATGATTGCAGCCTAATTCTTTTACTTGTTTTAAAACTGAATTGTCATTAGCATGATATAAATCCTGTCAAATATAGGACCGGCTCATTCTCGTCAGGATCCTGAAGCGGCCCGACAGCGAGGACCCCGGGGCCCCAAGTGTATCTCACTGTAAACCTGGCTGTGTTTGCTCAGGGAATTTACATTTGAGATATGATGAAGTACATGCGGGTCGTTGTCTGTGTTCCCTGAAGAAACACGGGTCAGGTTAGACTATCGGCCTGCTGTCACACTGTACACACGTGTTATCAGCTGCTCCACATGCAAGACTGTGTGTGTCAGCAAACACACACGCTGAAAAACCCACACACACAGACATGCAATATAGGTGTTGTCTTCCTAACTCTAAGAGGACCAATCCCAGGTAGTGAGTCAGACGTTGTGTAATGCAAAGGATTATACTATTTACGGTGGATTATTATCCATTATGTATTATTATGTGCTGGGATGAGTGTGTCTCCCTTTAGCTATTACGCATCATTTTGAAACTTTTTACCTCAAAGAGACTCAGTTTGCCTTGAAAATACTATTCACAGATCCTGTAGTCTAGTAATATTTTCCAAAAAAGGTACTAAAATTACTGTAAATTCATAAAAAAGCTACCTGAAATGAATTTGTTTAGTATGGCTCCGACTTTAGGGAAATCAGCGTAGCGTTTAAATACATATTCATAAAACATGCTTGTGACATACTGAACAGAGATACCAGATAAGCCTGTTGGGGCCCCAGGCTCCTCATGTCTTCTCCACCTCTGTGCAATACACCCTCATTATGAACTATTGTGCAAAAATATAGGGTGGAATAATGTGTGTGTGTTAGTCTGTTGATGTTGGCCTTTCCCCTTTTATACACATTGATACGTATTTATTGTTGATGTATTGCACAATGTGTACAATTTTATTTTTATTTTATTTGTTGGTAGCACCTGGATCCATGTCATACTGTACCGGTTAACATTACCTTGTTTACCATTTGGACTATCTTTATTATAAATGTATTGTCCTTTTTTAATCATGCAAAATCTAATGGCGAATATCCGTCCTGGTCTGTGTAATTGGGGATTTTGGCTAGATAAATACATTTTAATATGATTAATGTTTGTATAAATCTGTTATTTTAACTTTCATTGCACATTTTTTTGCTTTGACCTTACTTTTTTTTATATTGTAATATTTTCATCCTTCTATTTCTTTTTGTATCCTCATTTTAACTTTTTCTTACACCTTAACTGTGTATTTACATATTTGTAAAACATTTTATCCTTTTATTGCACATTTACACTTTCACCTACTTTTTTTTTTTTTATGGAGCAAATGTTACTAAAACCCCTTGGGATTAATAAAGTACTCTTCTTCATTGTTTGCAGATGTTGCACTGTTAGAGGAGACATTAATAGTACATTCATTTCCAACAACTACAGCAGCCATTGTGCATTTAACAAATATAGCCTTTGAATCTTTACATCTACTTTACGTGTAAGACTTAAGTTAGATTTTAAATGCAGGACTTTTACTAAGTGTAGAGTATTTTCATTCAGTGTTCTTCCACCACTGCCTGCTCCACAGAGCCTCTCTCTGTAGGACACAGAGACATTACCTAATTGTTATGAGCAGATTATCCTGTCACAGGGGGCGGGGCCAGGGAGGTCAGATGATGATGATGATGGTGATGATGATGATGATGAACTGCTCTGTTATGTGGAGCTTTCCTTTGGATGGCGAAGAAAGAGGAAGAGGGGGGGGAGGTCGCACAGGGAGGCGGTCCCAAACACAAAAAGAGGCCCTGCTGGTTCAAGTGAGGATAGAGACCGTCCCGATATGAACTCAGCGTTACAAATAGGAGCTGCGCTTTTCCAAGTGGAGCAGAGTGGAGGTGCGCCATCCTTAATGTGAAGCCGCGAGGACCCGCAGTGTTACCGAGCGCGAGACTGATTCCATTACCGGACACAGAAACGACACTAAACTGAGACTTATTCACAGGTAAACATCTTTATTTTATTCCGTGGTGTTTTAGATGGTATGTTTAATTAGTATTATGGACACTAGAGGATCATTTCGCTAGATGAAGCCTCACGAAAGATGCGAAACGGATCTGTATTTACACGTGTCCACATGTTGTCCTCAATTATTATTATTATTATTATGGACAACTCGTTATTGCTTTGGATGATTTCGCTTTTTGCTGAACAAACAACTCAACTCAAAAAGCATTATGTTTTCCTACACTTTAAACAGGTCCGTATTTACAGGTTAAAATGTGTATTTTATTCCGGGATGGCATTTACATTATGTTTTATTCTGATGCATATATATCGGTAAATAAATAAAAGAAACCCTCACAAATGCATTAGACAAGTATTTATTATAATCACCAATATTTTCGATTTGTATTAAATTGTTATTATGCAAATTTAGGGATTTTTCACTAAATAAAACAACACCAAAAATGCATTAGCTATATTCTCCTTGACAATATTTAACATGAAATGTAATCCCACTTATTGCTGCAAATTGTCTCTTGCTTTTTTAATGTGTTCAGCTGTTATGTGGGAATAAGTGACCTCGTGCTGTTACTTTAACATTTAATTCTATAATTTCATTTTCCTGTCATCCTATAAAGATAAATATAATAACCTGGATATAAATGAAGCTGGTTTAGAGTAGAATCAATAAAGCGCCGGTGATGCTGCTGACTGAACAGAGTTAGGTCAGATTAGATAAGTGAGAGCAGCCAGAGATCAACATGTCCTGGAACACATGTGCTGATGAAGCAAGTTAAACAGACCGGAAACACATCACGAATCACCTAAAGTGTGCTTTTACAGACAGAATATACACAAAAACAAGACAGAATATCATTGGAAACAACAGGAAGATTGACCTATAAGTGTGTGTTCATGCCCTAAATACGAATGTAGGTTATCCTACTCTAAATAGTCCTTCTTGTGTTTTAAACATGTGCTTTTCTAGTAATGCTCAAAGTCTGCTCTGGCTGATTAGATGTGTGTTTACAACATACATTGTCCCATATTGAAAGAGTAATGAGGCTGGCAAGGTTATGGTACAAGTCGCTCCGGTTTTATTGAAGAGATGTAATGGGGTTACATAACATTGTGTTGTAAGAGATGTTGCATAACCTCTAAATCCCTCTTCTGCTTTCTCTTCTTCCTTTTCATCACTAGGTGGCACTGTTGCTGCATCCTGAGACCTGAACACAACAGAGCAGAACTCTGAGCACCCAAAGGAGACTTATCCATCCCGAACAGAGTGATGTTTGAGGAGCAGCAGATGAGGGGGCAGCAGGAAATGGCCGTGCTCCATCCTCTTGAATCCCCTGTGGGTTCAGATGGAGGCAGTGATGGAGGTCCGATGTCCTTCACCGATGAGGCGGTGTCCATCCTGACCTCCAGCAGCCTGTTGGCCCGCTCCCTTCTGGGTCGAACCTCGGCTGTCAAACGCAAAGAGAGCCCTTCGTCCAGCCTCCGACGCCAGCGCGAGTTCATCCCCGTCGACAAGAAGGACGACGGCTACTGGGACAAGAGGAGGAAGAACAACGAGGCGGCGAAGAGGTCGAGGGAGAAACGCCGCGTCAACGACATGGTTCTGGAGAGCCGAGTTATGGCTCTGCTGGAGGAAAACGCCCGACTGAGAGCCGAACTTTTGGCGCTGAAGTTTCGCTTCGGCTTAGTCAAAGACCCCTCCAACGCCAACATCCTACCCCTGAATACAGCTCCTCACCACACCGTACAAACCTCAAATCCTCAGTACTTTCTCCACCGAGGAGACGGTTGCTCTTCCTCTCATCCCAGCAGCCACCTCAGGGCCTCCAGGGAAGCGGGGAACATGTCGGAGGATTCTGGTTTCTCCACGCCAGAAGGGTCGAGCGTAGGCAGTCCGATCTTCTTCGAGGAACACGGGAAGTTATCCCCTCACAGAGCAGAGGAGCTGGGCTACGACCTCCACCACTCCCCCGCCGAAGTCCACCACATCGCAGCACCCGTTTTGGGGAGATTTGAACACGCAGAGACGTTGAAAAACCTTCCTCACAAGCTTCGTTTCAAGACACCCGGATGTGGGGATGCGTACGATTTGGCGGGGGATCACAGACGGAGCCCCGTACCTCCAACACAAGCCCTGAAAGGACTTAATGCCGGGGACACAGCAGGGGGTCATTGGATTCAGCAGCTGGAGGACGGCAGGAAGGGGAGTCAATTCAACACCCTCCAGCCTCCTCACACACAACCTGAGGGCCAGTACAAACACGAGAACACACACCTGAAGACGCAGCTGAACTCTCTGAGCGTGGAGGTGGCGCAGCTGAAGAAACTGTTCACAGACCAGCTCATGGCCAAAGTCAACTGAGGACTGGGAGGGGAGAGACTTTGAAAAGAGAGACTAATGTTGGCCAAGGGCTGGGCGATATGTAGAGAGTAAAATGCCACAATAACTTTTTTTTTTAACGAAAAGTCGTATTATATCGATTTAAATTTGACATTTTGCCCAGCCCTATTCAAACTATGCTGACTCTTACGAACTTTTAACATTTTTAAATACTGTATTATATTGTAAAGAAAGTCTTTAACACATCTTATAACCTGCTGTTTAACTTCTTAATGTCACCGATAAATGTCTTATATCTGTAGTAGTGTTTAATAGTTTCTCTATTCCATACACTGTGATGACTCCAAACATAAAACTGTTTACATCACATCATTGCGTCACGTTATGAAGACACACATTCACTTCAACTGGACGTCATCCAAAACTCAGCTCGATGGACGGAGGGAGTGTTTGCTTCGATGGTTTTCTGTAAACACAAGCAGAGACAGACAGTAAACACACAGAAATAAAAATATGAGCTGCCAAAACCTCCTCTAAGGAAGGTTTGTTCTGACCAAACATTCATTTTCCTCCTCACTTCTCATGTGTCACACAGAAAGACACCGTGCTGTTTTGATGTTTCTTGTCTCACTTATTTCTCTGTTTCAATACGTCCACACTGCCATGTCGACTGTGCCGAGGTGATTTAATGTCTGCTGTCTTTCTGTACATTTTCATATTAAAATAAAATACATTTGACAGACATCGTGGTGGTGAGTTCATCATTACTCAAAGACATCTTAAAGGGCCATGCAACAAATATTTAAAGGGGACCTATCATGCAAAATGCACTTTTGTACGTCTTTTATACATGAATATGTGTCCCCGGTGTTCCAGGGAACTCACCAAGTGTCAGAAAACACAACCCTCTCTATTTTCCTCCATACCCAAATCTCTAAAAAAGGGGCTGCAACGGATCTGATAAAAACTGATCCAGATTTGAACACTGTCCTGACGTCAGGACGGTGGCGCTATGGCTATTGGGCCAACTCCACCAATCAGGAGGAGACAGCCACGGCCATTGCCGTTCGAAAGTGCTGGAGACGCTGTAGTACATATGCCAGGCCTCTAGATGGTGCTGTTCTCACAGAATCAGCCCTTGCAAAAACAGAGCTAAAAAAGTGCAAATTGAGCGAAATGAGGCATGGCTAAAATGCATGATCTGTTTGGTAATTTGAAGAAAACAAAAGTATAAATATGCCTTATATAGGTATGGTCCTACACTATATTATTCAAATATAGCATGATAGGTCCACTTTAAACCAGGAAAAATGGTCTTGGGTAGCTCTGGAAGAAGCTTTTTAAAGTTTGAAAAGACAACCCTGAATAAGTGTTATTGACTTTATCAGGCGTGAACTTAAGACTTACATTTACTAAGAAGGCCTAAGTAAAACGTTGAGTTTTAAGTTAGTATTTAAGGGGAAATGTGGGTCTAATTAAAGGAATTGTAGTTGGAATAAAAGTCAGATATCTCAGCCTCTTCTGCTTCAGTATTGACCACTCTTTATTTAAAATATAATCTATATATAATCATATATACGTATCTCTTATGGGTCCACAGATAAAAGGCTACAATAGAGAGGCGAAGTCCCGCCCATCTACTACCCATGGGACCTTATTTCGGAAAAATTATGCATTGAAGTCAATGGAGAGAGAAAGATTATCTTTCGATCCCGTTTGAATTGTGCCATGAATTACACATATGATGTTTGTCAATTTTTAAAAATCATTTCCATGTCAAAAAAGTCACAGTTTGTCGTAAAACTGTTGAAATATAAGACTATGAAAAATACGCAACTAGAAAGACTACAAATCCCAGAGTCCCGGTCCCGCATGCTGGCTCTTACAGAACCGACTACATGTAACTCCCCTTGTGTGTATGTACAGCTCTCAACATGCCCAGACTTGGAGTGATTTTCACCTCTTTTAATACTTTTCGCCTCATTCTGAAAGAAAGAAGTGAAATGTGCCAACGTGACGGCCGTCTTGGTGTGACGGGAGATTTAGTTCATTGAGCAGTTTCACACAAAAAAATGTGTTACTTCACAGTTTTACGACACATTTTTATTTTTTTGACTTGCAAAATTATCTTTTAAATTGACAAACATCATATGTGTAATTCGTGGCACAATTCAAACGGGATCGAAAGATAATCTTTCTCTCGCCATTGACTTCAATACATACTTTTTCCGAAATAAGGTCCCATGGAGCTCAACCGGAAAGGGAGGGACTTCGCCTCTCTATAGTAAATCACTTGTTACCTTTTAAAGGAATACTTCACCCCCAAAATAGATAATAACTATATATAATATATACATTACTCACCTGGTGTTACCTGTAGTTCTAGATTGTGTTGCCTCCATTGTAAACTCTATTTACTTCAATTAATTGAGAATTTACTCAGTTTATTCTTTGATCACTGTGGATGCGTTCATAGTCTCTGGAGGAAGCTTTTTAAAGTTTAAAAATACTGAATAGGTATTGACTTCATTAGGCAAAATCTTAACATTTTACGTTATTCAAAAGGTCTCTGAGTTTCTGAGTTTGAAGTGTTGGAAATGTCACATGTCTTGGCATCTTCTGCTTTGATTTGATCAAATATGTCTCTTATGAGTCCACAAACAAAGGGTACAATACCAAATCCCTACAGGGCGCCTTTTAAAGGAATAGTTCACCCTGAAAATGATCATTATAATAAATCATATAGAAATGACTCACCCAGTGTTACCTTGAATTCTAGAAGCATGTGAGAAAAAAAGCTTTCTTTAATTTTAAACGGCCCTGAATTCATTTCAATTCATTGAGTCTTTTTTTTACTGTAGATGCTTTCGAGAAATCACTAAGTTCTCTTCAAGAGTTCAAGGTAACACCAGGTGAGTAATTCGTGTAATAATGATCCATTTGTACGTCAAGTATTCCTTAGAATTTCAACAGGAAGAACTGTTACCTCATCTCTGTAAACCTACACCAAAGCAGTGTCTCATTGCCCTGATAACAGATCATGAGAAAAGGAAGAAAGAGAAGGGTTGGGCGGACAGACAGACACACTCTTAAATCAGACTTTAGTTCCACCTGGAGTAAATCCACAAGCTACCCTGCAGTATACAAAGTCATTCAAACTAGCTGCACCTTTACCAGCTTTGAGAACACTTTCATGATCAATCATTATAAAACATATCATATATATTATTCTGAAATGGACCAATCTGCACAATGACTACTTTTACTGTCGCTACTTTAACTATATTTTGATGATAATACTTTCCTACTTTTACTTGAGGAACATTTTGAATGCAGGACTTTCACTGTAACAGAGTATTCCTACACTCTGGTACTTCTACTTTTACTCAAGTACAAGACCTGAGTACTTCTACTTTTACTCAAGTACAAGATCTGAGTTCTTCTACTTTTGCTCAAGTACAAGATCTGAGTACTTCTACTTTTACTCAAGTACAAGATCTGAGTACTTCTACTTTTACTCAAGTACAAGATCTGAGTACTTCTACTTTTACTCAAGTACAAGATCTGAGTACTTCTACTTTTGCTCAAGTACAAGATCAGAGTCCTTCGACTTTTGCTCAAGTACAAGATCTGAGTACTTCTCCCACATCTGCAAATAAATGTATGAGTACAATACTTTCTTCCAAATTGGATTAGAGTAGAAGTATAAGGTAGCATAAAATGGAAATTGTAGAGCAGAGAAAACACTTATTTCGTTGTTTTTTTTCCACAATTCTGTCCAGACCATGATTCTTGTTTTCCATTGACATGAAATGATGACAATGTCAGTACCTAAAGACACTTCTGGATCAACTTGAACAAACCTGTTTCCCTTCAGGCCAGCAGGGGGCAGCAGAGACAACCTTTCCTCCTCACCATGGAGCTCAGTGTGTGTTCAACCATCCAGCTCCAGATATAAATCCTGCTATGGATCGCTGCGGTTTGTATTGTTCTTGCAGATCAGCAAGTTAGTTGGCATGGTGATGAGCGATAGTTAAATTCAGACGACGTACACGTGTGTTTTTTGTGTGCGTACGCAGGTAGCAACGTCGTGCGGAGTCTGAACGTATGAAAAGGTCAATTGGATTTAGAGAAAGATAAATATTCAGTGCAGTCCAAAACACCGTTTCACCACCACAGAGATCTCATTGATACTTAAGAGAAGTTATTCTACATGTAGGCTATATATCCATTGTGAGACACATTAAGGAATTAAAACAGCAACTTTGTTTACAATTTACAACCAAAACAGATTTAAAAAGTACAGCGAGACTCTGAGTACATTGCAACAGCCTGTGGAGAAATGTAATATGATAATAATCCAATCAGATTGATATAATAATCATCTCATTGCCAAAAAATGATGCTTATTTCCTAGAAGCAGTTATTATAGCTCTTCAATTTCATTATAGGAAGCACATTAAAGAATAAAAACACTAACTTTGGCTACAATTTACAACCAAAAACAGATTACAAAAGTGATATTGTGTAAGCATAGATAAAGTCTTACATTACATTAGCCTGTTGTGAAATGTAATCAGAAATCACCATGAAAAAATCCATCCAGATTGATGTTAAACACATTTTTCTCATATGCTTATACTTAAAAACTGTTTTTCTAGTTTATTTCAATCACTTCTTAGTGGCTGGAAGACATTTTAGGAAGACAGACACTTATTTCGGGTACATCTTAGTCCCAAAAACAGATTAGAAAAGCAAAATTGTGCAAGTACAGATGGACTCAGACTCAGAGTACAATGCATTAGCCTGATCTCAATCATCATTGTTGCTTTATTTCTAATATGCTTATTCCTTAAAAGCAGTTATTTTAGCTTCCCAGTGTCCTTATAGGGAGCTGCGACAAATGTAAGAATATAAACAGTCATTTTAGCAACAATTAAGTCCCAAAAACAGATTTAGAAAAGCAAAATTGAGCAAGTACAGATGGACTCAGAGTACATTGCATTAGCCTGTTGTGAAATGGAATTCGAAATCATCATCGTTGCTGTTTTTCTCATATGCTTATACTTAGAAACAGGTTTTCTAGTGTATTTCAATCCGTTGTAAGAGGCTGGAAGACATTTTAGGCATACAAACACTTATTTTGGGTACAATTTACTCCCAAAAACATATTAGAAAAGCAAAATTGTGCAAGTGTAGATGGACTCAGAGTACATTGCATTAGCCTGTTGTGAAATGGAATTAGAATTCTAATATGCTTATTTCTTAAAAGCAGCAATTTTGGCACCAATTTAGTCCCCAAAACAGATTTAGAAAAGCCATATTTTGCAGGTTCAGAGAGAAACTGAGTGCATTAGCCCGTGGAGAGATGTGAAGGTGGAGCAATGCGAGGAGGCTGCAGGTGTGGAGGCAGAGAAGAAGAAGGGAGTCGGCTTTAATGAATTTACTGCAACATGCTGCTGTCCTCACCCTTTCAAAAAAAAGACCGCAACTCCCACAACCCCCCTCTTCCCCCCAAATTCTGTTCCCCCATCTTTTTTTTTCCTCCAGTGAAAGGATAAAGCCTGTTGCTAGGCAGGCAGTGCGACAGTTGCCATGGGAACGCTTGCAGACATAGCTGGAAGGGGGCAAAAACGCTGGGCAGGGTGGGGATAAGGATGGGGTGCAAAAACAGTGTGTGTGGTGTGTGTGTGTGTGTGTGTGTGTGTGTGTGTGTGTGTGTGTGTGTGTGTGGTGTGTGTGTG